CCCCACCACCTCCACTTCCCCCAGCTGCACCTCCTTTGCCCTGTGCTCAGAAGGCAGCCCATCCACCTGCTGGATTTACAAAACCCCCTAAATCCAGCTCTCCTGCTCTCAAACCCAAACCCAACCCCCCCAGCCCAGCGGACACAGCCTCTTCAGCGCCTGTGGACTGGAGGGACCCCAGCCAGATGGAAAAGCTGCGGAACGAGCTGGCGGCCTATCTCTGTGGCTCCAGGAGAGAGGACCGATTCCTCAGTCACAGGCCAGGCCCAACAGTGGCCCCTCAGAGCAAGGAGGGCAAGAAGGGCCCCAGCATGCTCGAGAAAGAGACTCCCCCGAGCCCGCCAGCAAAGGACACTCCCCCAGGTGTTCCTGAAAAGAGTCTTGGCGGCAGCAGCCTGACAGAGACAGAGGCTACCCCCAGCCTGGCCCTGCCCCCTGTGGACTACATTCCCCAAGACTCTCCAACTCCCAGTGTGCGGCAGATCCGGAATGAGCTGGAGGCCCGGCTCTTGTCATCAGCAGAGAAGGAGGCTAAGCCCAGCATAGGATCTCTACCCCCTAAGCCTCGGCTAGAAGGGGGAAGAATTTTTGAAAATGGGGCTGATAATGACAAACTCTCCAAGCCTGTGGCCAAGAATCTGCCACCTCAATCTACCACCCTGCTGCCAACCACACCACTCCAGCCCAAGGCCATGTTGGGACCAGCCACACCACCCAAGGCCACATCTGGGTCAGCCACACCACCCCAGGCCACACCTGGGCCAACCACACCACTCAAGGCCACATCTGGGTCAGCCACACCACTCAAGGCCACGGCTGGGCCAGCCACACCACTCAAGGCCACACCTGGGCCAACCACACCACTCAAGGCCACATCTGGGTCAGCCACACCACTCAAGGCCACAGCTGGGCCAGCCACACCACTCAAGGCCACACCTGGGCCAACCACACCACTCAAGGCCACAGCTGGGCCAGCCACACCACCCAAGGCCACACCTGGGCCAACCACACCACTCAAGGCCACAGCTGGGCCAGCCACACCACCCGAGGCCACACCTGGGCCAACCACACTACTCAAGGCCACAGCTGGGCCAGCCACACCACCCAAGGCCACA